TGTGTGTGTGTGTGTGTGTGTGTGTGTGTGTGTGTGTGTCCACACGTGCTTGCTCTGGTTTCTGTTACTATAACCGAATACCCTGTTCTGAGTTCTCTATAAAGAATGGAAATTTATTGAGCATTCAGTTCTCATGGTTCTGCAGATTCAAGAGTGTGACAGCAGCCTCTGGCCAGCTCTGTTGAGGACCTTTCTGCAGAGTAATGAAAGGTGCTTGCCTTGCAAGGCTAAAAACCTGAGTTTAATCTCTGGAACTCAGGGTAGAAGGTGGGAACAAATCCCAAAGTTTCCCCTGACTCACACTCATGCCATGGTACATATAACACACACACACACACACACACACACACACACACACACACACACACACAATTAATTTTTTTGACCCTGGCTATCATGGAACTTGCTATATGAACCAGATCAGATTCACACTCAGAGACCTCTTGCCTATTTGTCTCCCGAGTGCTGGAATTAAAGGTGTGCACCACTCCCAGCCTATACATATAAATTAAAACAAACAAAACCACTGGGAAATAGGTGCTCAGCTCCTAGAGTGCTTGCTAACATGTACAAAGCTCTGGATGTAACCCTTAACACCACATAACTGGCCATGACAGCAAACGCCTGTAGTTAACCCCAGTACTCTTGGAGGCTGAGGTAGGAGATGGGAGATCAAGGCCAGTCTATGCTGTGTGAGATCTTGTTTCAATAAGTGACAGCAGGGGGCTGGAGAGATGACTCAGTGGTTAAGAGCACCACCTTCTCTTCCAGAGGACCGAGATTCAATTCCCAGCACCCACATGGCAGCTTGCAACTGTCTGTAACTCCAGTTCTAGGGGATCTGACACTCTCACACCAGTGTACATTAAATAATTTAAAAAAATTAATTAACAGCATGTCTTTCTTTGATGTGTTGGCATAGATTCCTTTGAGGAGAGCTGGGTCAATATAGTAGGTTATTTTGTTTTTGAGGCCCCTCCACACCGATTTTCACAGGTGTTACACTAACCTGAGTTCTTCCCCAAGGTAGCAGAGCTCCTTTGCCCTGCATCCATGCCAGCTTCTATTGTCATTTGTTTTCTTGTTGATACAAATTAAAAATACAAATGTACTAGAGCATGAGCAGTGTTTACTACTCAGGCTTCTAACAAAATGCTGGAAAGTCCTGAGCACTGCACACAGCAAGCCCTGCTGGTGGAAATCAAAGGCGTGAGTAAATGAAGGTTGGCATCTCCTTCCAGGAAGATTCGGCACTGCTGGCTGTCCTTTCCAAACCACTATGTAAATTCAGCACAATTCCAGCCTTCTAGGGGTTTCTCATTATGTAGCACCGGCTGTCCTGGAACCCCACTATGTAGCCAAAAACTTGCGCACAAATGTTCTTAGTGGCCTGCTTTTTGAACCAAAATCTGGAAACAGCCCAGATATCAGGAAGAGGCAACAAGCAGCATACAGGACCGTCACATCAGGGAATGAACTGTTGGTAAATGTACTGGCAACTAGAGCGTCCACAGTGAGATTACGTTGAAAAGAAAGAAAGGTAGACAAAGGCAAAAGACATGCTATGATCCCAGTTTTAGAGAAATCTAGACGATCTCTGGTGGCCTGGGGATGCCATGAGGGGACTAGCGGGAGATTAGGCCAGGGAGCACAGGGACCCTGGAGAGGGATGGCTTGTTATCTTTCAGGGTGGTTTTAGGCAGTTGAAGCACACCACACTCAGTGTGGAACAGAATCAGCAGTTACTTATTCTTCAGCAGGGCTGTGGAAAGGTGCGAGGGTGGGGGGTGGGGAGAGCCTTATTCAGCTAAATTCAGGAAGTGGGTCCAGCTTGGGTCTTCATTAGTGACACCAAGGTCTCTGAGGGGACTTCCTCTCATTAGAGTGGTGCCCGCTGAAGCTTCTGACGTGTTACTTTGTCTGGAATGCACTTAAGAACACAGTAGGAGCAGCAACAAGGAGATAGGATTAGCTGGGAGTTGATACCTTTTAATGATGAGTGACAGGAGTTGGAGAGATGGCTCAGCAGTTAAAAGAAAATACTGTGTACAGAAGACCCGGGTTCAGTTTCCAGCAGCCACGCTGGGCAGCTCACAACGCTCTATAACTCCAGCTCCAGAGGATCTAATGCCCTCTTCTGGCCTTTGCAGGCACTACACTCATATACACAGACACACTCATAATAAAAGCAAATCTCTAAAAGTTAAGGCTGGCTTATTAAAGCAGGAGATAGAGTCAACAGACTCTTTTTCAGACCCCTGAGATTAATTTTTTCCTAATTAAAACAAAACAGAAGCCCAGTGTTTCAGTGCATGTCTGTAAATGCTTGTACTTGGGAGGGCTGAAGCAGGAGTTCACAGAGTTTAGAGCCTTCCTTAGGCAATAGGGTAAAAGCCCGTTTCAACAATAGTAAATACTAAATAAATAAAAACAGCCAAGCAAGCCAGGCGTCGTGGCACACACCTGTGATTTCAGCCCCTGGGAGCTGGAGGCAGGAAGATCAGGAGTTCAAGATTATCCCTGGCTATATAACAAGATTGGGGCCATCAAACAGTAGACTCCATCTCAAAAAAATGAACTAGTAAGCCAAGAGGGACATTCTCGGTGTTTGCCACCTCTCTACTGATGTCCCTGTGTATGCAGGTCTTCACCTTCACCTGGAAGGAAGACATCCGGCCTGGAGACCCTCAGCACACCAAGAAGCTCTGCTTTGATGCTGTCTCCCACAATAGCCCAGTCACCCTCTACGACTGCCACAGCATGAAGGGCAACCAGCTGTGGAAGTACCGCAAGGTGGGGAGTGGTGTGGGATGGGGGTGCAGACAACCTGCTTGAGAGGTTGTTTTAAGGATTGCAGTGCCTCCTACTTCTCCCTGCAGATCCTGCCCACTCATCCTCTCTGCTGTTAATGTAGCCCTGAGAGAGAGGGCGGAAACCCAGACTCATACATCTTAAAAAGAAAGCCAATGGGCAGTGGCGGCACACACCTTTAATCCCAGCACATGGGAGGCAGAGGCAGGCAGATCTCTGTGAGTCTGAGACCAGCCTGGTCTACAGAGCTAGTTCTAGGACAGCCAGGGCTACACAAAGAAACCTTGTCTCAAAAAGGAAGGAAGGAAGGAAG